CTACTGCATACCTGGTGCCTAAAACAAATCCTGGCAGGCAAATGCCAGGCCGATAGGCCTTGCACCCATTTAGTGGACATTAAGGATCCTCTCTTATTTCTAAGTCTTCTTTATTGAAATCCATGTGCCCAGGGGGCATGTCGGCTGTAACAATTTTTGTAGATGCAGGCAGAGCAAGTGTGAGTGCTCAGAATCAGATATACTTGCAGCAGCTTCATCCATTTCAAGAGCACAAGGAACCCATTTTCCAACTTAGCTCTGTGTCCAGCCAACAGCCCTGCTGCCCTCGGGTGGTGCCAGTCCGTGGCCTTCACCTCTCTCCTCCCTCCCCAAGCCTTCACCCAGGAAGGGGGGAAAATCCAGGATCCAAAGACTTAGACATGTGAAGAGAGAGGAAATCCCTATGCAAGTCAGGAGGGCGCCTCATTTTAAAATCCTGGAGGAGGGGGCGTTCCCAGAAACTTCACCCCAAATGCAAACGCGGAGCTGAAATTTAACAAACGGCAGCCAATGACCCTGAGCACAAAACTGGTGGCTCTCACTGGGCAGCTGGTGATCTGCTCTGCTTATTCCTCGTGACCCAGGAACTCAGGGAGCAGAGCCAAGCACCAAGCCGGACATCGATGGGAGCTCACAGTCAGGACCCAAAACTAAGTCCTTTCTCTCCTGGAGCTCAGTGTTCAGCACCCATGGTCCAAGAGCCACAGGTAAACAAAGTCAGAAAAGCAAAATCTGCACCCGAATATGGTGGGGGGAAGGAAAGAAAGGATCAAAGTGAGCTGGAGCCAAATGTGGGCATGGGTGTGGGCGCGAGCATGGGTGTGCGGAGCCCCTCAACCCAGGCCCATGGTGGGGAGGGGGGGTGACTGCACTTTCCCAGCAGCGTGGCTGGTCTTGGCACCCCCCTCGGTCCCCCTGCTGAACTTCCACAAATAAACATTCAAAGCAGAAGGGACAGATTTGCTTCTCAGCAAGATTTCAAAGCTGCACACAGAGTCAGAGGGAAAACAGGAAGGCCCTCGGGGGAGGGGGAGGGGGAGCGGGAGGAGCAGGGGCAGGCGGGCTGGGGCCAAATCAGATGGGACTCGTCCCAACCCCTCACCTGCAACTGGCCCCGAGGCTTTTTACGAGGTGCAAACCCTTTCGGGTGGTACTGGCAGAGGTGACACCTGGGGCCCAGGTCTGGGCTGCTGGGTTTCCAGCTGGGAAAGGTGGGAAAGGGCAAGGAAAGAGGAACTCCTTGGAGCCGTCTCAACCCGGTGAAAGTGAGAAGCTACATCTCATTCAGGAAAATCCAGGCACCTGGTGTCTTGTTTGCCCAGCCCCTCTGGGTCACCAGTTTGCCTGTGCCATGTGCAAGAACATGTGAGTGTGTGAGTGTGCACGCAGCCATGGGTGCCACATTTGCATTGTTGGAGGATGACAACACTCACTGGGATCTCCAAGGGACCAGGGGAAAACACAGCTGGTCCCAGCTGGTGCTGGCCCTAGGACCCCCGCCCCCACCTCCCTAATCGCTGGGCTCCATGGGTTGCAGGGTCTCAAGGTTGCACCCCCCACTTTCCTCCCCCACACCCTGGCTCCTTCCACAACAGGGGCAGGTGCCATCACAGTGGTTTACTAACATTTCTCCCTCTTGGTTAATGAGAACTGGCGTGCATTTAATAAAACCTTATTTATACACTGGCCTACGTGCGCATGAGGAAGGCCCGGCGCAGAGGCCAGCATTCCCACACCAGAGCTGAGTGTGGCTGCCCGCCAAAGCAGCTGCAACAACAGCCCGGCCCAGGAGGTCTTTCCCGCCTCAGAGCGGCCCTGCTTGGCCCAGCCTCCTCTGAGGATCAGGGGGTCTGTCCTGGCCTGCCTCAAGGTCATTTTTTTCAAAGAACACTACTGATAGCCTGGGTTCGGGAGCAATAAAAGCCAAATCCCATCTTAATGCCTGTAATTTCTTTTTGATTCCTTTATTAGTCAATTTTTTTTTTTAAATTGTTCAGCTGCTCTATGCATTTGTCGAGGGGAGAAGCACACTGCCAAGGCACCAGAAAATCAGACCTGGGTATCCTGCGGCCAGGGCTCCCCCAACCCCAGAGCCCGAGCAGAGGACAGGACAGCCGGGGGGCCACTTCCCACCTGGGCTTCTTCCTTACGTCCATCCAGGCTCTGAAGCGTGCTGGCTTTGTAAGAGAACTGGAGGGAGGACGTGTCTATACAGCACTTCCATCTTAGGGGTGATCAGCGCCTTGAAGCCTCAGAAGCATTTGGGGTACTGCCGCTATCATGCTTGGCCTACAGAAGTTGATAAGTCAAACTCCTAGGCTCCACGTCAGTGATTCTCAGCCTTGGCTGGTCTTTGGAATTATCTGGGAAGCTTTAAAACATACTGACGTCCAGGGGCAGGCATTGTGGTATAGCAGGTTAAGCCGCTGTCTGCGAAGCCAGTATTCCATATGGGTGCGGCTCGAGTTCCTGCTGCTCTATTTCCTAGCCAGCTGTCTGCTGATGTGCCCGGGGAGGCAGCGAAAGATGCTGTACCCATCTGGGAGACCTGGATGGAGCTCCTGGCTTCTGGCTTTGGCCTGGTCCAGCCCAGCCCAGGCCATTGTGGCCATTGGGGGAATGAACCAGTGGATGGAAGATCTAATTCTGCCTTTTAAATAAATAAATCTTTTTTTTTTTTTTTTTTTTTTTTTGACAGGCAGAGTGGACAGTGAGAGAGAGAGACAGAGAGAGAAAGGTCTTCCTTTTGCCGTTGGTTCACCCTCCAATGGCCGCCGCTGCAGCCGGCGCACCGCGCTGATCCTGGCAGGAGCCAGGAGCCAGGTGCTTTTTCCTGGTCTCCCATGGGGTGCAGGGCCCAAGCACCTGGGCCATCCTCCACTGCACTCCCTGGCCATAGCAGAGAGCTGGCCTGGAAGAGGGGCAACCGGGACAGAATCCGGCGCCCCAACCGGGACTAGAACCCGGTGTGCCGGCGCCGCAAGGTGGAGGATTAGCCTATTGAGCCACGGCGCCGGCTTAAATAAATAAATCTTAAAAAAAAAAAAAATGACTGAGATCTGGGCTGCACCCTGAGCCAACTGAGTCAGAATGTCTGGGCGTGGGTGCAGGCACTGGTGGTTTCTCAAAGCTCATCTGAGGTTCAAGGTGCAGCCCAAGCCTGGGAGGGGCTGTCCTAGGGGCAGGTGCTGCTGGTCTCCCCAGGCCTCCCTGCTGTGAAGTGGCCTGTTTGCTTGTGTCCGGTCCCTGTGTTGCCTGCGGCTGGGTTGCAGCCGGGGCCTCAGCTCAGTGTCTGGCTTCCGGCAGGTGCTGTGAGCAGCAAGCGAGCACACAGGACCCTCTCCCAGGTCGCTGAGGGCAACTGGTCAGCACTGGGCTCTGCTTTCTGAACCTGAGCACTTGCCAGGGCAGCAAGGTCAGGGCAGAAGGACAGACATTCTGGTCTGACAAGTAAACACTGTCAGCGGCCTGAGCTTAGCGTCCGGTCACGAATGGAAAGTTTCTCCCAGTGCCCTTTTATCCTCTTACGTCCAGGGTTCTGGGTCAGGCCCCCCGCGGGACATTTCCCTACATCAATGGCCAAGGTGCTTCAAGAAGAGAAGTTAGGCCCAATCCTTCTTAGTGACAGGACGATTGCATGTCCCAGGCGCCCTGGTGGCCTGAGACCTGCCCGCAAAGGCCAGGCACACAGACATCGTAGTAGCAGGCACTACTGCCCGGACACGGAGCCTCGGCAGCTCCTTCTCTGGGCCGTGCTAGGGTCAGCTGCTCGGAATAAGGGCTCCTTGTCCTCTTACCCTCCTCTGTCTGCCTCTGAAAACAAACCAAGGAGTGTGTGTGTGTGAACTCGGGCCGGCTCTGTTGGAAACTCTGGGCAGGGCAATAGGCAGCGAGGCTTCTGTTCTCCGGCAGTCAGTGCGGGGAGCGTCCGCGTGTCGGAGTCCCCAGGTCCTGAGCGCTCTCACCTGCTCTGGAGCCCCGTGCCCAGGGGAAGTCACCTTACAGAGGCCTGAAGGGCACACTCTCCTAGCAAGGGTGGGGTCTTTTAGTCTGTTTCATTTTGAAAAGCGCACAGCTTGCTTTGATTTCAGAACAGCACAGTGGGCTTTCTGGGACTTGAGAGAGCCAAGGAGAAAAAACATAAAACACAATTTCCTCGTTTAAGTTCTTAGTGAGTGATGTGCCCCACAACAGCTCCAGAAATTTAAAAGACACCAAAGCAGCACAGTATACCCTTCAAGGCTAGACATACGTGACGTGTCCCCGTGGAAGGATACCAGGTGTGGGCGGTTCTGACCGTGGGACCTCTGGGCACCGCCACCAGGATCCCCTAAGCCAACGGCGCATTCCGGCCGAGCCCAGCTCTCCTCCTGCAGGGTCTCTGGGGCTGGGAATTCGGAACTTGCATCTTTTACCAACTTCCCTGGTAACTTTCATGCACTCTGCAACCTGAGAGCCTCTGCCCCGTACCTCCCTTGTAGAATTCCTCCTCATCGTCCCCTGGCAGCAAAGGAGGGGGGCTGATCAGGTCCTGTGCCGTCTGTCTGGGAATAGGGTGAGCTAGGTCAGGGCTGTCTGTCTACATTGTTGAGATGATGACTTTTTTTTTTTATTCTATTGTGAAACAGCAGCAACATTTGGGGTCAGGATCAGAGTCCAAAGAAGGAGGATAAAAGCCGTCACTTGTGGAAAAATCCCTTTCCTACTACCACACACCATAATCATCATTCAGACGAGCGATGGGACAAAATGGTTAAACGTCTTGCCCGCCATCACCTGGCTGGGAAACTGCAGGTGAGCTCCTTTATCGGCCACCCTGCTGGGGGCAGTGGGGAGCACGGGTTCCACCTGGAGCAGACACAAACCTGCCACAACCACACACCTAGCGGTGGACCTGCAGTGACTCCCAGGTCCCCAAGCCACAGTCCCAGACACAGCATGGGCTCATGAGTGCCCCCGAATCACCTTCCGAGGGCCGAGCAGCCAGCCCCACCGCTTACCACGCGGAAGAGCTTGAAGAAGTCCACGTTGGCATAGAGGGTGTCCTCCATCCACTGCAGGGTGCCCTGGGAGAGGGAGCACAGGGCACCACGCACGGTCTGCGCCCCACGTCGCTGGCTGAAGATGAGGAAGCGGTCCAGGAGGGCCTCGCTGCAGGCGATGTCCTTCAGCGCCAGGTCCGGGACTCCATGAGCAAACTGCAGGGAGGAGAAGCGACCCTGAGAACCCTGGCTCCACCCCCGCCCCGAGAGATGCCGCCAGCTAACCCACAGAACCTGGGGTGCGTTCTGAGACGTGGCAGAGGGAATGGAGGCTGCGAATTAGCTGCTTTTAAAACAAGCAGATTGTTCTGGGTGGTCAGGTGGGCCCCATGTAATCACAGGGTCCTTGAAACCTGTGGAAGAGGGAGACAGAAAAAGCCACGTCTGAGGAACGCGATGTGAGAAGGACTTGACCATGGCCGGCCTGGGAGCTGGCAAGTGCCAGAAAGCCGATTTCCCTCCAGACTCCCCACAAGGGATGGCGGCTGTCCTGGCTTTTGGCCTGCTAGACTTCTGGTCTCCGAACCACGAGATCATAAGCAGTACGTTTTTTAGCCACTGTGTTTGTGGTCATTTGCTAGAGCCGACTCAGGAAATCCACACACCGCTCCCAGCCTGCTTCACTTTATCACACGGCCATTTATTTTATTTTATTTTTCAATGTTTATTTTCCCGTCGACCTGAGAGGCAGATCTTCCATCTGCTGGTTCACTCCCCACATGTCCAAAACAGCTGGAGCTGGGCCCAGCTGAAACCAGGAGTCAGGAACTCCATCCCAGTCTCCCACATGGATGCCATTATCTGCTGCCCCCAGGGTGCATCAGCAGGGAGCTGGGTCCATCTGGCACTCCATTATGGGAGGCGGGAGCCATAGGTGGCCGGCTTATTCTGCTGCACCACAGTGCCTGCCCCAAGAGCTGCTTAAAAATCTGAGGGAGGGGCCGGTGCCACGGCTCACTAGGCTAATCCTCCGCCTAGCGGCGCCAGCACACTGGGTTCTAGTCCCGGTCGGGGCGCCGGATTCTGTCCCGGTTGCCCCTCTTCCAGGCCAGCTCTCTGCTGTGGCCAGGGAGTGCAGTGGAGGATGGCCCAAGTGCTTGGGCCCTGCACCCCATGGGAGACCAGGATAAGCGCCTGGCTCCTGTCTTCGGATCAGCGCAGTGCGCTGGCCGTGGAGCGCCAGCCGCGGCAGCCATTGGAGGGTGAACCAACAGCAAAAGGAGGACCTTTCTCTCTGTCTCTCTCTCTTGCTGTCCACTCTGCCTGTCAAAAAAAAAAAAAAAAAAAAAAATCTGAGAGAGGCTCTTCGTGCACAATACGAAGCTGCCAGCAAGCCCTTCTTTCTGAAGCCGAGGGGGAGGAGCAGCCAGAAACCACCTGTAGCGATGGCAAATGACCCACCCCTTCTTGCCTTTCTCATCAGACTTAGAGTAGGAATAGTACAATTTTTACACTCAGTAAAATTTGAATTTCAGATAAACTATGAGTTGTTTTTTAGTACAAGTATGTCCCCCCAGAAGGTCTAAATGGGACCCAACTGAGTTGAAAAATTACTTGTGAGTCTGAAGTTCAGATGTCATGAAGCATCCTTGTTTATCTGGAGATCCCGTGCCCTGCCCTTGCCCTGCCTGTGCCCCACAGCTCCCAGGGAGCGCCCGCCAGTGACGCTGGGCACCATCCCCAGGATGAATTCTGGAGGCTAAGGTGGTAAGAGGGGCCCTCATCCTGCTCAGGGACCCTTGGGCACCGGCGCAGCCACTGGGCTGCTGCAGTGGACAAGACCCTGAGTGCCATCACCAAATTCCCAAGACTCCCCGGGCACTGCAGTCTTCCTGTGGCTTCCGATCGCAGGGCTGTCTGGGCTGGACAGCCACGCAGGCCCAGGCTCTACCACCCTGGCGTGGGAACTGTTCAACTGTACCAGGCAGGCTGGTCCTAAGCAAATTGCTGGCTGCTGGGGCTTGGTGTGCATCCTGCAAGCTCACGGGCTGGGGCTGGCTGCGGGCTCCAACATGACCTCCGTCTTTTGTCTACATCTCACTTCTTAGCCCCAACCAGATCTCCACCCTCACCTCTAATCCTAGCAGCTGAAAGAGCTTGGTGGTGGGGGGGGGGTGTGAGGGACACCAAGCACCTCATGCTCCAGGGGAGGGGCTGGGGGACTGGAGAAAATCGGTCCCTGTCTCAGCCTCTCACGCTGCTATGTGTCCATTCAGCGCCCGATCACCGCCCTCCCCACATGCCAGGATGAGGGTGGTGGCACCAAGGCAGAGTCCCATCCACCACAGAGCTCACCAGCTGGCTAGAAATGCAGGCACCCAAACAGCCTGACCAGTGCCCGGTGGGCACTGAGGCCAGAGTGTTTAGCAGAGTGAGTAGACAAGGAGCACTGACTGAACACTTGCTGGGGGCCAGGCACTGCTCTGTGTGTTTTGCGTACATGAATTATTTTAGTCCAAGGGACATGATAGGTGCTTGTATGATTTCCATTTCACAAGTGGGGAAACAGGCACAGAGAGGTTAATGAACCTGCCCGAGGTCACACAGCTAAGTGTGTGGTCTTGCTGGAGTTCGAAGCCTGAGCTTAACCACTACCTCTGAGCTCTTTGGCAGGTAGGGAAGAGGGGCAGGGCAAAGAAAAGAGGGTTTACAGGCCTTGCACCACATCCAGGCGTTTCCAGGGCTGGTGTGAGGCGGGGACAAGCCAGAGAGCTGTACCACCAGCCTCGGCTGATGGTTCCCTAGGAGAGAGGGGGCGGGACTCCCCTGGGGGAGCTGTGCTGAGGCACCAGCAGAAAGGACCATGGTATGGAGCCCCGAGGTCAGGCACACTTGTGCCAGGTTTAACAAGGATGCTGGATGGCACAGCTGTGCGTTTCCTGGCTGGACAGCGCAGAGAGAGCATGGTTCCCAGGGAACCAGCGCCATCAGGATCAGAGCCCTGGCGGACGGCTGATGAGGAGTCAGAGGGCAACACGCAGAGGCAGGGTGCTGGGCAGAAGCCGGCTGTGAGAGAAGCACTTGTCACCTCAGCAGGAACTAGGAAGAAATTTCCCCCGCATTCCTGCCCTTATCTCCAGCGCCCTTTTATTACCGACTGGAAGTCACTGCCGGGACCTATGTTTTATGAGCCGAAGAGAAAGCCAAGGGGAAAATGAGTGATCAGTGCCGCCGCCGACACCTCCCCTCCAATCCCCTCGGGGTGGGTGGACGGGGAGCTGGGCAGGGCCTTGCCGGGAACTGCCTTCCTGCCCCCCCCCCGCACCGTGCCCCTGGCAGGGCCCCTCGTCCAGTTTCGGTGAAACCTCAGAGTCTGAGAAGCCAGGAGAGCAGGCACAGGCTCCTTCGCTGCAGTGCAGGGAACCACTGTGCAAAGTCCCCACGTGAGTCCTCCTCCCGCCTCCGCTGGGCTCAGATGGCACGCGGGGCTGGCCTGTATCTCAGGACTGACACAGGCCCTCAATTCTGTCCATGTGTGGGTCTCCCCTGGAGTGTGGAGGAGGAGCAGAGGCCAGGAGGAGAGTGGGAAGGGTATCTGTGGGCCCCTGCCCAGCTTGCTTTCTCCCTGTGTTCCGCACACTCAGAGTCCGACAGCCAGGATGCTGGGCCCGGACCCAGGAGCCCCAAACAGTGGAGGCTGCCAACCCCAGGCCAGTCAGGATCACCTGGAGGGCTTGTTAACACACAGAGCCGACGCTTGGGATGCCTGCATTCCCCACCAGGAGTGCCTGGGTTCAAGCCCTGGTTCCGCTCTCCATTCCAGCTTCCTGCTAGTGCACACCCTGAGAGACAACAGGTGATGATTCAAGTGCTTGGGTCTCTGCCACTCTCAGGGGAGACCCCAGGATTATTGAGTTCCCAGCTCCTGGCTTTGGCCTGGCCCAGCCCTGGCTGTTGGGGCATCTGGAGAGTGAACCAGGGGATGGAGAGATCCCTATCGCTGTGTCTTCAGTAAAAATAATTAATTAATTAAAAACCCAGAGCTTTGGACCCAGCTGGTCTGGGGCTGGGCCTGAGAATGCACATTTTTGGAGAGCTCCCGGCTGCTGCCGACACTGCTGCCCCCGGATTCTGAGAACCTCTGAGCCGGGTCGGCAGTGAGGCGACCTGGATTCTTTGCTGACTCGTGATTTCTAGCTCTATCGCTGGGCACAGAATAATGCCATCACCAGCTGCCTCAGTTTCCCCAACTCTTCGACCCATCTCGGGACTACTGTGAGGAATAAAACAGCTAGCAGATGCGTAAGTCAGGCGTTCATGGTGACAATGCTCTGTATGGATACAGATGATTTACATGGACAAATGAATATCGGGGTGGGGGGCAGAGGTCAGAAATGTACCAGGGACACGGGAGAAGGCGTCTGCCGGGCGCCAGGAAGGAAGCAGAGGCCAGCTCCCCTGCTGCTGTTCCCAGATCCTGTAACCTGGGAGGCGCCCTCAGCCCCCACTGCCAACTTGTCAGGCCAGGACCCTCCCCCAGCCGTAGGCTTGGCTGCCTTCTCCTGTCAGGCCTGCCCTGCCCCACCTCCTCTGCAAGGCCCAAAGCCCACAGTGTCCCACCCGCTCCTGACATCTGGGGCACACACAGTGGAGTCCCTGCTTGGGGGATCGTAGCCTGCTGCCCCTCTGTCGGCTGGAATGGAAGCCCCTGGAACCAGAGGCTGTGCCTGTCTTGTTCACGCTGCCTTGCAGAACCCACAGCAGCCCTTACATATTTGGTTAATGAAGGGCTGGCCTCGATGTCCTCAAATGTACAGAGGAGGCAGAGCCACACGATCCCCCGGGGTCCTTCCAGCCGTGAAAATCACGGGGGTTTCCGGTGTTGCCAGGATCTATGCTGCTTGGGTCCTCTGAGTGGACACGCACTGTCTCAATGATCCCCTGGTATTTTTTCTGAACATGGGCATGGGTCATGGATTCCAAATATGAAAGCAAGAAGGAAAAACCCGCCAAGACCTCTGGTATGTTCCCGGGTGCGGTGCTCACCCCTGCCCTCCAGGGACCACCCACTGATGCTGCTGTCCCCTCCTACCTGCTCCGGGCGGACTTGGGAATTGACCAGAAGGTGGACCACCGAGTCAGACAGGCCAATGTTTCTCTTGAGAAATAGCACCAGGATCTCTTCGTCTTTCAGGATCTCCCGAACTCGTATTCCTCTTCCTGTGCGTCAAGGAGAGAAAGGGCAGGGTGCTGAAGGGGACGTGGGTCACACAAATGGGAGGAGCGCTGGAGTCGACTGGAGCATTTCTAACTTGACCTGTGCTGTCTGGGGGGCCCTGGGGCAGGTCCATTGCAAGTACTGCAACCCACAGTGAGAGCATTTACTGCAGAAACAGCTGGGCACGCTTGAACAGGAAGGCATGGACAATGGGACAGTTGGCCTGAGCAAGGGGCTATCTCAGAATGCCTTGTGGGGTTGGCCTCAGACAGTGGCTTTTCACAGGGTCAGGGTGGAGGGGCCGGAGCAGGGCAATTGTGTCCCCATGAGAATACTTGGCAATACCTGGGGAGGCATTTTCGTTGTTCTCATTGGGGAGGTGCTGGGGGCTTGAGGCCAGGGATGCTGCTAAACATCCCACCAGGCTCGGGACAGCCCTCCCACCACAAACAAAGAAGGGTCTGCCCCAACGTCAATGGCGCCCTGGGGACTGCACCCCTCTCTGTGTCTGCACCTCCCATACTGGCCTTCCAGAGCAGTGTGGGGGTGACACAGCAGCAGGGATGTGACACACTTAGCCCCCTGCCGAAGAGGGAGCTTGCTCTTGCTGATTGCACTGGGGGAGAGTCACATCAGCCCTTGCCTCCTCTGCCAGCCTCCAGGGCCCCTGCTGTGCTTCCCGAGGTGCTGGCCAGAGTGTTGCAGGCCTAGATCTCTGCGAAGCCGTTTCGATGCAAAGCGGAAGCTCTGGGTTGTGTGAAAATGCCTGTCTACTTCCCGAGTCCTCCCTGGCTAACTCACTCTTGTCATCACATGTCCCTGTGTGTCCTGGCCGCTACTGCCCGGCATCCAGCCCTCTCCCATACTGTGTTTGCCCCTTGCCAGGCAGCCAACAAGCCTGCCCCAGGGCCTGACAGCCTTGCTCCCCATCTGTGGACTGTGACCGCTCCAGTGCAGAGCCCGGCCGGCTCAGCGTGGCTCCTCTCCTCTGGATGGGACCTGGGGCCCCCCTACAGGCCTGCCCGAGTGTCCGGCACACAAAGGCCTCTTGGCATGGTGCGTGCCAGGGAGACGGGGCCAGTGGGGTAGCCCAGCATCACTCCCCCTTGCACGGAGCAAGTCCAGAGGCTTGGAGGGAAGCTGGGCAGGGGCCGCAAGCAAGGCCAAGGGCTCTGGGAGGGCTGGGCTGCTCTGTGCTCGCGCCTTCCCACAAGTCCTGTCACCCTCTGCACCCGGCTCTTCTGCCTTTCCTCCTGCCTGGTTGTTCTTCACCAATGTCATCTTTCCAGCAACACTGTCCAGTGCACGTGAGTGCACACACACACAGACACAGACAAGCACACCACACGGGCACATACACACAAGCATGCACACTCACATACACACACAGACAAGCACACCACACAGGCACACTCATACACACAAGCACACACACACAAACAAGCACACCACACATGTACACAGGCACATACACAAAGCATGCACACACACATACACACAGACAAGCACACCACACAGGCACACTCACACACACAAGCACACACACACAAACAAGCACACCACACAGGCACACATGCACACCCATAAGCATGCACACACACAGACAAGCACACCACATATGCATACACACAAGCATGCACACTCACACACATAAGCACACACACACAAGCACACTACACA